ACACACACACACACACACACACACTCACTTTGGTGCTCAGCCCAGCACCCCTGCCAGGAAGGCTGGGCCGGGCAGGAGGAGGCAGAGACCCAGGCCAGCACAATAGGGAGCTCAAGAGCTGGAGAATGTCCAAATGTGGGCTTTGAGAAACCAAGGCCAGATGCCCAGATGACAGCCTCCTGCCACACTGGCCCCCACAATGCTGTGATAAGGCGGGCTCGGGGGTGCTCTGAAACTGGAAGACAAACCGACGTGTATTTGGGGCAAGTAGGCAGTGACTGTGAACCTGGGTCCAGAAAACCCCTCCCAGGATCATTCAGTATAGCACAGGCCTGGCCTATGTGTGCTTGGATGGCAGAGAGCCTAGTGATGGGGGCCTGGACAGCTGGTGCCATGGGCAGGCTCTCTGTGGGCTCCTGACAGAATGCAAGCTGCATGAGGCACAGCCTAGGGGTGAGGGGAGGTGGAAGAGTGGCAGGAACTGGCTAGATGGGGATCAAGTTTGAGCCCCAGCTTGAGCAACGACTAGCGAGAACGTAACCTCTGTAAGCCTCCTTCCTACACAGCGAAGAGATAACAGTGCCAACCGCACCAGTCTTGGGCAATGCAGGTAGAGCCTTGCAAATGGCACAGAAATTGATCAACAATGGCTCTCTGGTTCCAGTGTCTGTGTTGCTATCATCATCATCCAATCAGTTCAATACTTTCGCTAGCCATCACCAGTGGCATGACAGCTGGAGTGGGTGGTTAGTGCCCATCAGGCTCCTATCTGCTCGTTTGCTCAGGGTGGACTCCCTGCAGGGGCCACACGGATCGCCCTCCAGACAGACACTCCATGGTCCTAGGGGTTCCCTACCACCGCCCTTCACTTTATCAGTGCCACGGAGTGTCACGTTCTGAAATGGTCTGGCTTCTCTCTGTTTATTGTCTGCATTTGCCACCTGAATGAATGAATGAATGAATGAATGAATGTATGCTTGGCAGTCTTCCTAGTGAGGGATCCCCAAAACTCACTGCTATCAAGTTGGGTTCCACCTGGCCCTGCGGGTTTCAGAGATGGTCATTTGTTACGGGAGTAGAAAGCCCCACCTTTCTCCCTTGGATCGGCTGGTGGTTTCAAACTGCTGACCTTGCAGTTAGCTACCCAACAGCTCAAGAAGCCACACCACCACCAGGTGGGAAAACAGCTTTCCCTAACTGGTGCAACCGGAGCAAGCACTGGCCCCAGTCCCCTGGCTGTATAAACGGGCTATTTTTAATGTGTGTGGAACACACCCCAAGGAGAGTATCTGCTTACTCCATGAAACCACTATCTCAACCAAGCCAGGGACAAGCCTGGCCTCCTGGGGCCCTTCTCTCCCCATCTCCCACCAATGCCCCTCCTCGGGGACCCGCTGCCAGACTGCATGCACCTGGGATGCCACTCCACTTCGCCTAACTGCCACTGCTACAGCCCAAATGACTGTCTCTGATACATGTCCACACAGACACGCCCTAGAGCCATGTAGATCACCTCCTGTCTAAAGGCAGAGCTGGCCGCTTGACAGAGGTCTTTAGTGTCGTCTGTATGGCCAGTGCTTACACACACGCCACCTCATTGTGCAGTCAATCCCCGTTCCTAAAGGCGGCATGCTAACTCACAAAGGAGCTGGGCAGCTGCTGGTGTGACTGGCCCTGCGCTGATGTCTCCCAATCTTGCTCCTGGTCTTTCTGCACTCAACCTTAACACCGGAAATGAAAGGCAGCAGTCACCCCAGAATTTGAAGGCCAAGGAAATCCCAAATGTGCATGCATGCACACGCGCGCACACACACACAATCTTCCTAGGAGAGAAATGTTTTAGGAAGCGCTTTCTGTGAAGACGTATGTCCAGCTTCCAAAAAACTGACTCACTGCCACCG